TTGAATTTAATATTGGAAATCGATATAGCAAATTTGATTCGTAGGCGGGGTTTGGAGGTCTATTTTGAAATCTGCACTAGTATCCCCCTTTTGGCCTATATGTTGTCATTCACGTAAAAACGCATATATGTAGTAATAATATTGAAGGAAATTTCTCAGTTTTCTTGATTACATATTTTATCTTCATTTTCTATTTCTTCAGATAAAGGATCTTTTTTTTTGTTTTCCTTTATTGATAATAATTGGTTTGTGATTAGGTGAAGTATATCGTTATTATTATTGTGATTATTAGAAGAGTCAGAAGTATGCGTAGAGTTATTAGTAGTATTTTTAACTGAAGTAGAAAAAGTATTGATGTTTGGGTCAGTAGATGTTAAGTCAATATCCATGATTTTGTAGTAGTTGTTTTCAAATGCTGAGTCGATAGAAGGGGGAATATAGTCATTTCTGATGATAATATTATTAATAGTTTGTTCTAAAGGAGTTTCTGGTTTTTGAGAAGAAATATCAGAAGAGAGTTTAATTTTTTTTGGTTGTTCAATTTATTCTGTTTGTTTATTATTGTTGCTTGAAGAGCTTGAAGAAGTATTATCATTTGTGTTATTGTTTTTTTTTATTATTTAAAGTAGTTTGAGAAGTTTTGTATGCAATTTTATTTTTTGTTTGTCTAGTTATTGGCATTTTTTGTTATTTTTGAATAATTTTTAGTTTATTTAGATTTCTAGAATACTTTTTTTTTATTTGTAACATATAGATGATTTTGATTGGCTGCGAATAGGAACTGTCGCAGTAATTTATTATCAATTTAACTACCCGACAAAAATTTCGCGATAACGTGATAATAGCATAACACCTAACAAATATGATTTCACGTCTAAAATAATTCTGTCCCTCAAATAAATAGTAATAATGAAACATGTGATCGCGAAATTTTTGTGCCACTGGGCTAGTTATATATCAATTTTACACTGGTTAAGAATTGGTGATAGGTGATACACTTTATTTATTTATATATTTTCACACCGTTTAATCTATCATTTTTCTTCTTCTTCCAAGCATCAATAACAATATTTTTAACCATTTCCTCAGCTTCTGTCCAATTTTGTTTAGCTAATTTTATCATTTTGTCAACTATATCGGGAGTGTAATCGAACTTGGCAAAAGAAGTAGATTTATCTTTAAAAGGCATAAAATTTTTATCAACCTTCTCATGAGACAAAAATGGTAAATAACAAAATTTAATTTGACGAGAGTCTGAAGTTTCATTAATTGTCGCATCTTGTTTATACCCTCCACCTTTTTCATTTGGAGTATAAGAATAATCATATATTACACAATATTTATTATCCCCTTCGAGTTTCTTGCTCGTTATTCCTTTACGTTTTGTAAATGTTGAATGCACTTCTTCAAAGAAATCTAAACTTGCTGAATTGCCTGAAGAATCAAATGCTATGATTACATCCACTTTCCTACTTGGATGAACCATCGGATATAATGGCAAGTCACAAGATATTCCGGCATCAATGAACCTTAAAATTTTATCTTTCGTTTCGAATTTAGTAGAAAAATTATAATTTTCTGCAGAGTCAATTAAAGCCTTTCCTTCCAATTCACTTCTTGTCTCTCCTCCAATAACGTCAACGGTCTTAAAAAAAGCGAGTAGAACTTTAGATGTTTTATATACGTATACATTAACCAAAGAAACTTTTTTTTTTATAAACCGTACCTCATCATATAATGACTTCAAACTTTCTTTTACCCAACCATCAGATAAGACGTGCCCAAATTTATCAATATATCCACTAATAGGCACACACGGTGCTGATCCGAACATTCTATGAAAATTTAAAAAAAATAAATTTATCGAGAAAATTTTTTTAATTTGATCATCTATTTACTTACCCAATTAACTGACCAATATTTTGTTCGGGTAAACGATGATGATTTTTTCCGGATTTGAATTCACGTCCAAAAGACCAAGAAGGTATCCATTCTAAAAACAATAAGCAATTGTATAATTGAAAATTTATTGCCGTTAAAAAAAATAAGAAGGTTGTCAACTTACCAGCTAGTTCATCACAACCAACCTCAAATGGAGTAAATTCAAACCAAGCAAAGTGTAGCCCATGTTCATCCTTCACATTTTCCGGTACAACTTTATTCTGCTCTTCCTCTTTTTGAACTTGATGAACCCTAAATTAAAAAATTTGGATTTAGAAAATGTTTTCTCATTTACATTTCACCTTAAAAAAATTTTCAGACACCTACGCCGTGTATATGGGCATTAAACTTTTACCACCTTCCAAAAATCGTTTTTGATGACTTAATTTAAAATCTTTATAATCCCGACGTTGGCATTCCGGATCTTTTCCAATTAAAAGTTTAGCATTTAATAAACATCCAAAGGTGTCTATTGGTTGTACGTTCAAACCTATTTCTTTTTTTAAAACTAATCCAGAAAATGTTAACTCGATTGCTGCTTCAGGTGATGAATTGTTTGATAACTCATCAAGAAGGTCCTTCGCTATATGAAGTGGTAAACGTTCTTTAAAACCATCCAATTGAGCTTGAACTGGATCTTCTTTTGTGGCGTATAATGAAGAATATAGTGACGCTAAAGCCAAACAACAACCGCTTACACCTAAAAGTTATGGAACGATTAATATATATATATATATTGAAATATAAGGCATTCTTTATTACTTACCACCGAAATAAACACCACAATCATATAAACCGGATTCTTGCGTTGCTTTCATATAAGCTAGATAAAAATTTTATGAATATTAAATTATTAAAATATTTAAAAATTTTTTCTTCGCTTTTTTGAATTCTCATTACCTGTGTTTGCGATCATGGCTCTAAATCCACCACCACTTCCGGCAAATGCAATTACGGGAATATCGTCCACATGAATTTCTTCAACTTTAACTCCAATGTATTTAGCGAAAGCCTCCCTTATGTATTCTTTTCTTTCACTCAAAAATTTTTTTTCATCATCGCACAATTCATTAGATGTTCTAACTTTTGCATCCCATTCGATTTCAGGATGAAGTGATCTATCTTTAAGTTTTTTCGGTACATTTTCTTTCAAGGCATTAAATCCATGAATAAGCTTTATATATTTTTCAGGCTTTACCTTTGTGACCACATCCGTTCTAGAACAGATTCAATAAAAATAAAACCAGTCTTTTAAGTAATTTAACGAAAATTAATGTAGTTAGTTACAAATAAACACCTTAAATGAGAAATCAATCCATCGGAATCTGTTTTTATCTCCAATTTAGTGGTTACTTCTGCTGTTAATTTAACTTGATTATCATCCTCTTTATTCATTCTGACCGAAACATCACGTTCATGGTTTTCATAGCCCAACGTTCTGTAATTAATTCAAATAAAAAATAAAAAAAGAATTCATTTTGAAGAAGCATTACATGGATCATTAATACCTGTCGATTGCGTTTTTAATACTAAACCATATACCAAATTCATTCTCAGATGTTTTTTCGGTTTTTAAATTAATTTCACTGTCATTGCTCTCTCTGAAAGAAATTTCAATAAAAAAAAAAGTTTAAAAAAAAATACTCGGAGAAAAATTACATATAAATATATTATAAATTACATTTTGACATCCATGTTATAACTAAAGATTGAATTGGATTGATTTTAAGAGAAAGAAATTTTTGGGGGGGGGGGGGGCAAGAATGGAATGATATATATACCTATTTATATAAACGCGTGTAATTATACAATTGCATTGCTTCTACGGAATTTTGTTAGAAATTATACATAAATAGACTGAATTAAACTGAATTGGACCTAACGCATTTTTTTGTTGTTGTTGTTGTTGTTGTTGTTAGATATGAATTATATTGAATAATTTGTTATCTGAGTTTAAAATAGCTAATCATAAATAATCCAAATAAAGAAATTTTGTATAAACAAATTTGATAATCTATAACGTATAATTTCCATTTATGTGTGAACCGTCAATTAAAGGAAAAATCATTGCATTGTAAAACGTTCACAACAATTCTTTGGTTTTTATCATTATAGCATCCAAATGTAGCAACTTGGTAGTCGTGTATAATAAATATATCATCGTGTTAAACTAAGCTCTATATAAATAAAATTCTCATATTTATCGCGAAATTTGAGTTCGATTCGAGCGATCATTGTGCAAAAAAAAAAGGAAAAAAAAACTTTCAAGTTTGGGTTGATTTGCGGTGCATAACGAATAAAACAATTGTTATATTCTAGTTTAATCAAACTTTTTATTTGAACCGTTAACATATATGCGTTTATTTTTCATTCAAATGCTTATTTATAAATATAAACCTAATGTTTACCAGAGATTTTTGCGATGAACTACTGATTCTTTCATTCTCGCTTCATAAGAATACAAAAAATAAAGCGTCAATTAAAAAAAATCCGGTAAGCAGGGATCGATATACATAAACATCGGTTCGAAAAGATCGGTTACTCAGTTTAATCTTTTTGAACCACAGAGAGATAGATGCGGATGTTCAAAAGAGAATATCTTTTATTTTTCGTTATTAAACTTTATAAACTTTTGTTTCCCGAACATGGCATGATTTACACAAATCCAACCAATATCATCAAAATTTTGTTTGCATGCATATCATGTGGTCCTAATATGGAAATTTAAATAGTAAAATGAAATGATGAGATTGATATGGGAAATTAAATAGAGGCACAATCTTTATGGCATTCTTTATAAAGATACCAGGAATAATTTTTTTTTTGTTCTCTTTACCAAAAAGAAGGAAAAAAAAAATCTCAAAACTTGATTAAAAATTTACAGTAAAAGAATGAGTAAAACGAAAACCATTATTGCTATTATAACAGTCGGTATTTCACTTGGAATCTTGTTATTGAGTTTGACAGGAGCAAAGGATGGCTTGAATATACCTCAAGACAATGGAACTCACACCGGATTCCCCGCTTGGCATCCACCTTTGAAAGGATATAATGACGAAAGTCTAGAAGCAACGATTATTTTCTCGGCATTTGTGATGGCAATCTGTGCATATTTTTCATTCAAATGGACCTCCCAAGTTCCTGAAGAATTTAAAACGTATTTCATTGATAAAAATATAAACAAAACACCTACCACCGAATTTGATCGTTTAATAGCATGGTACGCAACGATCACATCTCTGACAGGAATAGCATATTTTTTATTTGACGTTGGTAAAATGTGGGTTACAACCGGAGTATTACATAATGCGATCGAAGTAATGATCTTATTTGCCATACATCAAGGGGGAAGCGTCAAGTCAAGTTCATTTCCGGCTTGGATCATCCTTTACGTCTTAATCACCTCAGCATTAAGTCTCTATTTAAGTTGGCCTGCCGATGCCCTTTGGTTTAAAATGCAAGGACTTGTTTTGGATTATTTTTTAGCAATTCAATTTGCACGCATATTTTTTGGTTCGTGTAAGGGAATTGGTGATGAAGGTCATCGTCTCTTTGATGCCGAAAATCCAGGTCGTACCACTATTATTAGGGATAGTAATACATCGGAAAATGATGTGATCGTGGATGACAAATCGGTTGGATATTTCCGTCCTCGTTACACCTTATTATTGTTCTTTGCAGATTTCGCTCATATCTTTGGAAATGTTTACGTCACTATTTGGGCCTTTGAGGTTCATTCTTACATATTGTTCTCTTTCACATATTGTATCACTTTCCCTCTCTACACTTATTTTATTTATTTAGATACTCATACTGTTGCCATGCGTCCTGCTCAAAAATATATAGTGGTACCTGACGCTGATAAATTAAACGTTATACTCGTGATTTTATCTGCAATTTTCCTTTCATTTTTAACCGCAAAAATTAGTATGGATCATGACAATTAAACCTTTGAAATTTCATATATTGTATTGATATTTTTGATATTTAAAGAATAAAATCTTCTTTTGTAGAAGAACGTGTACAGTAACAGTTGTTTGCTGCGCCTATAAAAAATTGATTGAACGATTTCCCCTAAAATGATATTTAACGTTAATTATTTTTTTACGTATTTTTTTCTATTCGAACTAAAACAGATATTTTGTGCAACTCAAAAAAAAAGGTCATCAGGCTCCCAGACGGTAATTATCTTTTTGTTATTTACGTGGTATTAAAAAGCTTTACCAAATTTAACATATAGAACCTTAAATATGAAGGGTGTTTCGACAACGAAAATACGATCTTTTTAACTAAGAGGAACGGGAAGACATCGTTAAAGAAGTCTCTCAAGGAAAGTATAATTTATTTTTAAACACTACTTGGTTTTGATACAAAACAATACGTGCGTAAGGTGTAATTTTTGCATTTTAAATAAACTTTTATTTTTATAGACAAAGAATATGAATAAAAAGTTGTTGTTTCAGAACACATTGGCACAAAACGAGAAGATACATCACCCAATCTTATTGTATAAACAAAACCCTTTTATATATATACAATGATCTTAACGATGATCTACTTTAACTAATACTATTAAACTTTATTCACGATCCTGTGTTTTCTATGGCGTATACTCAAATTTATAATGACCTAAACGTTGATTAAGAAAATGTTTATTTGTTTTTTAATTATATAAAATTTTTAAATTTCTATAGATATTACCCAAATATGCAAAATATGTTTTATGTTACAGCAGCAAATTCATATCCAAGCCAGAGTTTCAAAAAAAAATAAAAACAAAGTAGCGAATATCAAACTCTAAACTACTATAATATTGATTGTATGAATGGATGCTGCGCCACAAAAATGCGCGGATTTCCCCCAAAAAAATACAAAAATAATAAAATAATAAATGTACAAAAAAAAAAAGCATCCAAATGATTTTTGTTTAAAAATAATTTACCCAAATATTAATCTAAGAAGCAAATACCAAACACAACCAAATGCCCTAAATGCTGATATAACATTAACAGCCCAGAAAACTATTTTTGTAAAATTAAAAAAAATTTCATTAATGAATAAATCACGTTTTTGGTTTTTTTTTTTAAAAAAAAGAAAAAAAATATATTTTAAACTTACGAGATGTTAAATAAGGATTATAAGCATCTTCACCATAGGTTCTTTTGATGTAACTGTCCCAAAACTCAGAGGTGAAGAAAAAGACCAAAAAGATATTTGAGAACACCCAAGCCAACACCACGTTGGTTCTAAATTGTTTATAATAGTCACTCTTTTTAGTATCTGCATCCCTATGTTGTTTACTTTCGGGCACCTCAAATTTTAATTTCATCAATACTTCATCATAAGTATCTTCGATATTCTTTATTTCGTTAACTTGTACTACAACATCCTTAACACCGGTAGCAATAGCACCAGGTTGTGCTCCATTACCACCACCATTATGAGTGTTATCCCCTTTTGTACCCCAGGAAACATCATGAATATTACAGAATGAATAAACCATTAAAATATTAATATAAAATGGTATTAATAAAATGGATTGAAATAAGCTTGTTATCATATGCCATGGTTCTCCATGAATTAAGCTTGCAAATGTATAAAGACCATAGGTAGCGGATATTGAGAGCATGATATTACGAAATTCTGCTATTTGAAATTTGGCGGGGAATTGATCTATGTTGGTATCTTTTAATGCCAAGAACACGGTATAAGCTCCACAATACAAGATTACAATCATAATCACGCCAAATAGTATGATACATGCCATATATAACCATTTGGAACCTTGAGGTCGATTTCCCATTGAACTAATGAATATGGTTAGAAGAACTATACCGTATATCGCTTTAATTAATTCAGTACCCTGAGGTGGCATTAAGGAAGTTGTCAAGAAATAGAAGGCCATATAGAAATTTCCAATAGCGAACCAATTATATAACAATTGAATGGCGTTATAAATAAATATGATTGTGAGTAAGAATTTCCTAAAGATCGATTGTCCCGAAGTCCAAATTCGTAAAAAATTCACGAATGAATAAACTGCGGCGAAGAAAGATCCATTTAACCACCGACGACGTTGTGAGATAAATTCGGATACGGTGACAGGTACGTCGGTTTCAGCCTTTGCATCCTTAACATATTTTAATTTCCATGATTCATACTTTTTGGATACCAACTCAAAACTTAAGATACGATCTTCCGCCAAATACATATTTGCTTCAATTATACCAGCATTTCCGGAACCATGCATCGTTTCCCCCTTAAAGTATGAAGCCAAAGGTCCTAAATCAGGTGTCGTATTTAATAATGCTTTATAACGATAAGCCGAAAATGCACCCGGCAATACCGAAATAAATCCGAATACTGATTCTAATGGTTTATCTAAAATGTTTGCCATCTTATACTCAAAATTTTGTGCCGCCACTAAAGGGTTAACTAAATTAATACATTTTCGTCCAAGTTCGGTTGTAACTTCCCCACAAGCACCTCCAACATTAGGATCCCTATCAAATGCTTTCCATAAATGATAAATTGATGAATGTGTAGGTTTAGTTCCAACGTCCAATAAAATGCAAATATTTGGATTCAATTGAGCTGCAAATGCGTTGAAGAACCATCTATGACTATTTATTTTTTTAGCATTTTTCTCCTTTAAAAGGAATAACGTCTGAATCGGTGGAATATTTTGATCTGACCCTCTGATATTAAAATTTGAATCTACCATCAATTGTGATGTATATTCAAATAAGTGACCTGTAACTGGTTTTCCCACCACGGAATCTTGTAAAACGCCCTCTTGATACACCCCCATCACTTCAAGAACATCAAGAACTCTTTTATTAATCTTATTACGTCCATCAGCCACGAAGACCACCACAACTTTTTGCCATCCACTTTTTCCCCATGTTTTTGAATTCTCTTTAGAGCACATATGAGATATATTTTTAATGATCGATGACATTGTTTTAATAAACAATCGATCATCTTCATTATACATCGTCACTACGATCATTATTTCGGTTTGTCTACCATAGATTTGTGGTCTTAACGAATAATTCTCTGAAACGAAATCATTTGGATCACAAGTTACTGCCGTATATCTCATATGAGTAAATTCATCTCCTGAGACGTGCTTAACATTTCTAAGGACTTTTTCTGGCACCGGACAGTTCAAGACCAAATTTCCTTTGGTCAACTCTACCTGTCGAATAATCTAAATATTTGTATTTTTTTTTTTTTTTTTTTTTTGCAAAATGGAGGGAGAAAGTAAAGGAAGGTGATTAGTGAAATGAACACGTGACGTAATATCCGCAGTAGAATAAAATTTCTTGAACTTACATCTCGTTTGCTTTTCATTATTTGACCGGATTGATATTGAAATGAGATTTTTGACGTGCGATTATTGTTTGATGTATATCGTACTGATTCACGATGATGACCATTCGAATCATTCTCATCAAGACCATACAGGTGTCGTTGAGCTTGTTGGTAATAATCGATATAACTTTGAAGCGATTCAGGAACGGAATGTCGAGCGTATTGAGGAGGATCCCTCGAAGAATCTTCATCATGATAATTAAATGTTGTTTGAATTGGCGGAGGAGTTCTTACACTTGAATGATCACCATTGAGCGGACTTTGATATTGTAGTGAAAGAGGTCGTTGGTTTTGAAGATCAAATGAATTAATAGGTCCTGCCATGCTTTTTTTTTTATTACTTTTTATTCAAAAAAATATTAGAGTTACCGTGAAAATGAATGTTAAATGTAAAGAAATGTTATTAATAATAATAAATCTTTTTTTTATGTCTATAATATTAATGAATGAAAAATTTTCCAACGGGATCGTTGTATAAGAAAGATAGGTAGAAAGGAAGGAGAGGAGAATAAAGAAAGGAAAGGGAGGGAATGATGAGGAATTGAGGCTAAGGGAGGGGAAATTTAAAGGAAAAAGTGAGAGAATAAAATCTTTCTGAATTTTCTAGACCGGTTATAAATCCCCTCAATATATCTTCTAAATCGCCTAAAAAGTTATCCATATTTGGATTAAACCCTGTTATTCATGCATCGGTTTCAGATTTTTTTTTTTTAAAACATCCCTTCAATCCGAATACATTTTTAATTGATATTTTCTGGCAGATAATTGATCACAATCACTATTATATTTGCATTAGTTAATGACGATAGTTTCTTTGTAAGGGAGCTGCGCCACAATATTACCATTTACAAGTCATGGCAAAATGTAAATCGGAAATGATTACGAACAATTAGTAAGAAATTATAATAAACTACGAAGAATATATGTGCTTTATTGGTTTAGAATATCAAACATTATATATTGCAATAATCACGTAGCCAATAAAATTCTACACATAATTGATATTCTTCGGTGGATCGGCAGGCAACTTTTGTAGTAGATCGGATTCCACTTACTAAATTCGATCGAGCCCGTAACGGTCCTTCAATAATACCGTTAGGTTGTGATGAATCACGTGACCTGTTTATTTGATTTTTACCGTTTTTGATCATGCAGATCCGGGGTCAAATTTCCTTAACTGGAAATTTTTTACCTTCAATATGGCCAAGGCGTATGGTCAGCAAATTTTTTATTTCATTTTATTTTTGCACTCGAAACAAGGATTGGTTTTGAATATTAGACGGGTAAATTTTTAGTGGTTCTCTATTGAAAATGTTTCTTATTAAAAATAAGTGCAAAAGTTCCAAACTTGAATAATAAGAAAAAAAATAAATCAGTTTCGCCGAATTTTACCGTCCTACCCTTGAATGGTAACGCAGATCGGGGTTTAATATCTTAAATTGAAATCCTTTCTCCTGTGAATGGTAGCACGATTTTAAGGTTCGAGGATAGGGTTTTAATATCTTAAATTGATCACAATCTAAAATTACTTTGTCGATCATTTGGATTTGCACGTGGAAGCAAATTATAA